CTTTAAATATCCCAAATGGTCAACCACTTGTAACATTCAAAATGGCGGCACCCTCTGGACCGGCAAAAGTCCACAGCTCAGCCCGCCTTTCTCTTCACCTTCTCCGTTTATTCTACAGCCACCAGAGCAGTCCTCTGTGCAGTCCCTGGCTAGCAGGGCTGATTTTTAGGTTAATTCTTAGGTCCTACCACCACTCAGGAATCTCAGGCTGTCTGTGCTGTGCCGTCAGGATCACTACGTATCACTGCCAGACCGCAGCTCAGTCTGTCTCCTTTTTTGGTATTTTCGTACAAATTCTTCTGCTAGTTGATGTTTAGTCCACTTCAATATCCTTCCCTTCAAGGCTCAGGGGTCCAGGATTATCTTCTGTGTCTGTGTTAATTGATTTCCCTTTTCTTTGTTGAAGAGGATTTGTGCAGTCTTTCTGCCTAGTCCAGCATCTTACCAGACCTCCGACATTTTTAATTCTTTGTGAGCTTTTTATAAAAGAGCTGCTGTACTGGGCAATATGCCAGTGAGAGGTTTTGTGTGTGTGTGTGTGTGTATGGAGTCCTGGTGGTGCAGTGTTTAACTGCTCAGCTACTAATCGAAAGGTTCGTAGATTGAACCTACCAGTTGCTCTGTGGGAGAAAGGTACGGCAGTCTGCTTCTGTACAGATTACAGCCTTGGAAACTCTATTGAGGCAACTGTACTTTGTCCTACAGGGTCGTGTTCAGTTGGAATCAACTTAATTGTAACAAGGTTGGTTTGATTTTATATATATACACATGTGTGTGTGTGTGTATACTGGTGCCATAGTGCCTAAGGAATTTGACTGTTAACCAGAAGGCTGGTGATTCAAACCCACCAGCCACTTCTCAGAAGGAAGACTGGGCAATCTACTTCCATAGTGATACTGCCTCAGAAACCCAATGAGGGGTCGCTATGAGTCAGATGGGACTTGATAACAGTGAGTTTGGCTTTTGGTGTGTGTGTGTGTGTGTGTGTATGTGTGTGTGTGTGTGTATGCCTCCATACACTATATATGTATGTGTATATATGTGTGGATATATATACATATGTATATTTGTGTATATGTGTAGTGTGTGTGTGTGTGTGTGTGTGTTGTTGTTATGTGCTGTCGAGTCGGACCCGACTCATAGTGACCGCTCCTTGGGTTTCTGAGGCAGTATCACTATGGAAGTAGGAAGTAGATTGCCCCATCTTCCTTCCAAGGAGTGGCTGGTGGGTTTGAACCTCCAGCCTTCTGGTTAGCAGTCAAGTGCCTTAGGCGCTACACTACCAGAGCTCCAATATATATAGTCATTGTTATGTGTTGTCAAGTCGGCCCCAACTCATAGCGACCCCTCCTTGGGTTTTTGAGGCAGTATCACTATGGAAGTGGATTGCCCAATCTTCCTTCCAAGGCGTGACTGGTGGGTTTGAACTGCCAGCATTCTGATTAGCAGTCAAATGTGTTAGGCACTATACCACCAGCGCTCCAGTATACACATTTATACATGTATCACAACTCTGTAAAATAAATCAAAAGCAAATTCTTAAAACAATGTACCTATGAAATATACCAGATGTTAATACTGATTATCTCTGGCTGATGAAGTTATGTTTTTCCCCTAATGTTTCAATTTCTACATTTTTCAAACTTTCTATTTTTTATATACTACTTTCCATTTACAATGGAAAGGACTCAGTTTGAATGCTTTTTTTTTAAAGTCTTAGATGGATGTTTCCAGGACTTTGTGTGGCTTTTGATCACTTGTCTGCTAATCTAGGCAAATTAGGTAACAATGTCTATGTCATTAGATATGTTTCCTCAAAAAAGAAAAAAAAAAAACTCACTGCCATTGAGTCACTTCTGACTCATAGTGATCCCCATTGGGTTTCTGAGGCTGTAAATCTTTACAGAAGTAGATTGTCACATCTCCCTTACATGGAGCTCCTGGTGGGTTTGAACCACTGACCTTCTGGTTAGCATCCAGATGCTTTATCCACTACACCACCAGAGTCAGCAAATCAGCAAACCCATTTGGAAAAGCTCAAAAGGAGTCCACTTCAGTGCTGTGTAAAATAACATACAAAGTTCTAAAGACTGAGGGTATTTGTATACGATTTCTTGGTCGTGAGATCAACACCATCTTATAACAACATCCTAAACCCATTGGCCTCAAGTCAGTTTGGATGCAGTTCTGGCCTGTAGTTTCCAAGGCAATATAATCTTATGGAAGCAGAGTACCTCACCTTTCTCCCATGGAGTGGCATTTGAACCACTGACCTTTAGGTTAGTAACTGATCTTAACCTTTATACCTTCATGGCTCTCTGTCTCTCTTTCTATATATATACCTCATCTTCCTTCCTTGTGTGTATATATGTATATATATATATATATATATATACACAGACACACACACATACATACAAACCCAGCAGCAACTTTGTGGAAGGAAGATGAGGCAATCTACTTCCATAAAGATTTACCACTTGCGAAACCCAAAGAGGCTTGCTATGAGTTGGAATCAACTCGATGACAGAGAGTTGTGGATTTTTTTTTTTAATGCATATATGTGTGTGTATGTGTGTAAAATACACATAATGTGTATATATATATGTGTATATATATATATACACAAAGAGAGACATATACACACATACATATATATACATATGCACATACATATATACATTATAATATAAGCATTTTTATATTATGCATTATAAACATTTCCCAAGTTATAAATTATCCATAAGCATTTATTTTAATGACAATACTATGGATATTCTTTGTCTTATCTAATTATTCCCACATATAGTTAGACATGTAGGTTGTTTTCTAATTGGGATTATTATGGATATATTATGATAAAGTAATAATTTTTTAATATGTAATTTTATAATAATTTATATAATAATTTATAATTTTATAATATTTTTAGTGAAAGATAACATGCATATAAAGAAGTACACAATTCATATGTGTACAACATTTTGAATACTGAAGAAACTACTAGTGTACCTATTATGGTGTTGTTATGTGCCACTGAGTCAGCCCCGACTCATAGTGACCCTTCCTTGGGTTTCTGAGACGGTAGCACTACAAAGTAGATTGCCCAGTCTTCCTTCTGAGGAGTGGCTGGTGGGTTTGAATCACTAGCCTTCTGGTTAGCAGTTAGGTGCCTTAGGCACTACGACACCCGAGCTCCTTACTACTACCTAGGTTAATGAATTATCACTAAGTGAACACATCCTTTTACCACTACACAAGAAAGAGAAATTTACCAAATTCCCCCAATGCCCTCTTCTTACTTTTCTCCAAAGATTACCACTAGTCTGATTTCTAATGGCATAGATAAAAATTGATGATCTGTAGATAATTTCCTTCAGATTTCCAGTAGAATTACCAAATTAAAAGGTACAAATATTTTAAAGTATTTTAGTTCATATAACCAAATTGGCTTCAAAAATATTATGTCATTTTACCCCACTACATTATGTGAAAGTGTGGGAAGGACTTTTGCTCCTGAAATTATGAGGAGAGAAGGTTAGGATCAAGTGTAGAGAGACAAAGTTCTTGAGAGTGAAAAGGACCAAACAGAGTTAATTATCACTTTAGGGAAATCTCAGGAGTATATTTCCAAATTCTGTATTACACACTTTGAAAATACTCTTGTTTATCTGAGTATTGCCAGTCATTGCAGCAGATGAAAGGAGAATCTGGTGAAAGATACAGTCTCTTCAGATGTTTGGTTACAGTGATGCAAACTTCTGCCTACATTAATTATATCGGCCAAAGAAAGACCCACGAGTTCAACAGAGCAGGGATATATAATCCTTCCACAAGGAGGGATACTGCAGGAGAGGAATCTGGAATACTTAGCAAAAAATAATACCACCCACCATACGTTCTATTTAATTTTGTTTATGGAACTTGGTCTCATCCATGAGAAGGTCGGATAGTTCCCTGGTTATAAATGCCTGACTTAGTACAACCTGCAGTCAAAACCGACTCCCATAAATTAAAAATGCAAGGTACATGCAATAGTTTTTAATAACAAATGGACACTACTTTATGAAACACATCAAAACATTTTTATTATCGTTACTATATTCTGTTAAAGATGTTTTAGTGTATCTGAAAGTGTTTAATTTTTTTTTATGTATAGAAAGGTACACTGTATATGTATAGAAATAAACAGTGTAAGACAAACATTTGACTGGCATTAAATACAAACTGTACCTAACTGTTCTGACTTACGTACAAATTTAATTTAAAGACATATTTAGGAAAGGAGCTTGTTCCTAATCGAAGGACTGCCTGAACTAATCTTCATTCTTATTACAGAAACACTTCCTGGATTTAGCGGTACCTGCATCTCCATATAGGGCTGTAGCTTCTGTAATGATCAATGGTGCATTTGCATAGTGCTGAACTTTTGGGGGTGTGCTCACTTCTTTTCCATGCTGAGGCCCAGAAATGTGCTTGTTCTTTAAGTAAGAAGTGATGGAGAAATGCTCAATTCAGGTTATTAGGTACTTTCGGTGGAAAGCAGTTATTCTTTATGAAACAAATCTTTATAGCTAGAGCACACATTCTGGTTACATGCTCTCTGGGAAACTGTTCAGTCAGTGTTTTGCTAATGCATGGGTTATGACAGTTTAGGACTAGAGGTTTTCTTACTGGAACAGCAAAAGAACTGGCTGGGTACTTTGACCAAGAAGTAACATGCTTCAGGTTATCAGCCCCACCTTGTAGTTGTGATTAACTTCGGCCTTTCCTACAGTATATTTTCATTCTACTTTATTGCTTTTTTTTTTTTTGGCCTAAATCGTTTTTTAGTATTAGTTAATAACATCATGAGTTGGTTCTTATTTCACTTTCTCTTTATGTTGAAGCTGCAATCCTCAGTCATTAGTGCTAAGTCACAAAAATGGTTGCATGGTGGTGGGCATAGCCCAGTTGCATTAGGTGAGCACTGGTTTAACTTGGTGTCTCTGTCTTGTTCTCCCAAGGTCTCCTTTCTCTAGTGATGGTGAAGTCGGGGAAAGGTTACCTTAACCCTCCTCCAGGATGAACCACCTGCCAGAAGACGTGGAGAATGCTCTCACTGGAAGCCAGAGCTCTCATGCTTCTCTGCGCGGTGTCCATTCCATCAACCCCACACAGCTCATGGCCAGGATTGAGTCCTATGAAGGAAGGGAAAAAAAAGGCATTTCCGATGTCAGGAGGACTTTCTGTTTGTTTGTCACTTTTGACCTCTTATTTGTAACATTACTGTGGATAATAGAGTTAAATGTAAGTTTTTTTTCATGACTTTATAAGAATTATTTCCAGAGATAGTGTTCTTATTTTTTTTAATTGTTTCTATCTCATTTAGTGAGTTACATCTTTTTCCAAATAAGGCAGTGTTTGGACCTCTAGCTAATTTGAACCTTTCTTGTTTTTTAATGGCATTGTTTAAAACAAATCTCATTAATTTTAAATTTCCTTTGTGATTTTGACACTTGAATTCATGCTCTATCACAAGGATCGGCAAGCTGTAGCCTGCAGGCTGAATTCAGCTGTCTTATTTTTATAAACAAAGTTTTATTGGCACACAGCCATGCCTATCTGTTTACATATTGTGTATGGCTGCTTTTGTGCTGAGTGGTTTAAGCTGAAAAGTTGCAAGGGACACCATCTAGCTCACAAAGCCAAAAATATTTACTGTCTAGCCTTTTTCACAGAAAGTTTGCCAATGCTTGCGCCATAAAATGTAGTCTGCTTTTTAATTATGTTGTAGATGTTTCTTCTACTTTGCTAACTCCCATGTGTGGGAGTTTTGCATGTGTGGTAGAACACTGATTGAATGCTCAGCTGCTAACCAAAAGGCCAGGACTTTGAACCCACCAGCTGCTCCATGGGAGAAAGACACGACAGTCTCTTTCTGTAAAGATTACCACCTTGGAGACCCAATGGGGCAGTTTTCCTTTGTCCTATAAGGTTATTGTGAGTCAGAACCAACTTGATGGCAGTGGGTTAGGTTTTTTTTTTTTTTTTTTTTTTTGGCTTATGCTTTTTATTTTGGCAGAAGAGGTTATTTATTCATATATTCTATCAAAAAGGTTGTCCTAGAGACATTTGGAAGTTTTCCTGTATTTCATCAGGTTTACATAGCTATATTCATGAATTCAAATAATGGTTTACATCTGTGCTGCTTAATAGAAACTACAGTGCAAGCCTCATGTAATTTTAATTTCTCTGTTTACCACATGGGAGCTCTGGTAACATAGTGGCTAAAGCACTTGACTGCTAACCAGAAGGCTGGCGGTTCAAACCCACCAGCCACTCCTCGGAAGGAAGGTTGGGCAATCCTACTTCCGTAGTGATACTGCCTGGGAAACCCAAGGAGGGGTCGCTATGAGTCAGGGCTGACTCGACAGCACATAACAACAACAACAACAACAACAAATTTGCCACATTAAACCAAACAAACCAAACTCACTGTCGTCCAGTCAGATCTGACTCATAGCAACCCCTCCTTGGGTTTCTGAGGCAGTATCACTATGGAAGTAGATTGTCCAACCTTCCTACCGAAGAGTGGCTGGTGGATTTGAACCACCAGCATTCTGGTTAGTAAGTCAAATGCCTTAGGCACTACACCACCAGAGCTCCTGTTTACCACATTAATAAAAGTAAAAATGTATAGGTGAAATTTATTTTAATAACATATTTTATTTAACACAGTGTATTAATTTTCTCCCCAAGATGTTGGGTCTGATTGTTTATGTTCCTTACCAGCTAACAGATGAACTCTTTCAGAAGACTTCCCTCCCAGACAACAGTTGCCTGCTTCTTGAATCTTCATCAATTAATTTGCTTTGAGGAAATATTTGCTAAGTCCTAGGAAGTATATAGTATTAGCTAAACTTAGCTAGCATAGTGCTACATGCTTTATAAGAAGTATTAAAACAGAAATTATGAAAAGTTGCTGAGATTTTTCATTGAAAATGAATTTTATTGCCATTTAACAGCAAATGCTAATCTGCTTAATATTCTGATTCATAGCAGTAATGTCAATTCTAGACCAGACTTTTAATAATTAGGGTCATTGAATCTCATTTTGTTCCATCTTGAATCCTAGGAGAAACAAAACTCATTATGAAAATAGGCACATTTACTGAGTTTCTGTATTTAGACCTAATAATGCAAATGTTATGAAATCAAGACTTTCTTCACGTTAGCATTCAATTTAGATAAGTTTTCTCTCATAATCATGCATTAATGGATAAGAGTACATAGCGTAATTGGATAATATTCAAGTCATTATTTTCCATACTGATGAAAGGAAACAGAAGGATGTATAATATATATAAAAAGGAATTTCATTTTACTTGAATTCCCAACATGTAAGACCCAGTCATTACAAAGCATAGTATCCCTCTTATCCCTCAATGTATTGATGAATTTTTGAAGAACATAACCTTTAAAAAGGAGTTCTGGTAGCATAGTGCCTAAGGCACTTGACTGCTAACCAGAAGGCTGGAGGTTCAAACCCACCAGCCACTCCTCGGAAGCAAGGTCGGGCAATCCTACTTCCGTAGTGATAGTGCTTCGGAAACCCAAGGAGGGGTCGCTATGAGTCAGGGCCAACTCGACGGCAAATAACAACAACAACAACAACCTTTAAAAAACCTTAAAGAACATAAAATGGTTGAATTTGAATTCTAGAAAGTCTCTTGAAATGATTCAGCAGCAGTCCCTTTGGTTTACAGATAAGGAAATCTAATACCGAGTTTATATGTTACAGTGGCTTTCTGGCTGGGACCCAAGGCACCTGCATAATAATAGTCACTGCCACAAGCATAATGAATGTAAATGCTTTCATGAACAGAGCAAAATACCTATTAAGCAGGTAACCAAGCAGATTGTGTGGTTCTGTGCTTCAGAAAATAAGAGTTGTTCCAAAATCACAGTAATATACAACATGAATCTACTGTTAAGTTTCTGTTTACAGATTTTTCTTTTATTAATTTAGCACCATAGATATGCTTGATTTTTGTTTAAAAGAGACTAGTAATATGACATTGTAATACAGAAGTGTTTCTTCTTATTTCTTCCATGTGGACATACTAAAGAAAATATTTGCATTAATTTATATTTTAAAGGAGTAAGATGGTTTCAAGACTAATATTTGTGTAATAAGAAATGGAAACGAAATGCTTCTTTTAATAGGAAAGCATTTTTAAGGGAGCAGAGTTAAAAAATATATATTTTAATGACACCACAAAGCCAACGTAGTCATTGGTTTGCCTCTAATATCACTATGTGCTTTTAAGTGAGGGAGGTCATGAGGCTTTAGACTAATAGGAATAGGATCAAAGTGACAGTAGAAGGGAAGTTGTTTTTCCCTTTAGCTTTTGGTACTTTGGTTGAGAGCATGATCCAAAAAAGGCCTTTGTCAATTCTTACTGTCTGCTTTATGATTTTTAAAAAAATAAAACTGGTATATTAGAAAGTGTCAGAATACCGATCTACGGTTGACATCACCCACTCTGTAGTCTTAAGCAAGTTACTTACATTCTCTGGGCTTTGGTTTTGCAGTCAGTGAACTGGACTAATACCTGTTTTGTCTTCCTCTTGGGTTCTTGTGAGGATCAAATAAAAAGATGTATACAGCAGCTCCTTGGTAGTTTTAAAGTACTACACAACTATAGGTTATAATTTGTTGTTGTTGTTACATGCTGTCAAGTCAGACCTGACTCATAGCAACCCCTCCTTGAGTTTCCTAGGTGGTATCACTATGGAAGTAGATTGCCCACCCTTCCTTCCAAGGAGTGGCTGGTGAGTTTGAACCACCAGCCTTCTGGTTAGTAGTCAAGTGCCTTAGGCACTATGCTACCAGAGCTCCTTGTAATTTATTAGTAAATAAAATAAATTTAACCCAGAAAGAATGAAAAAATGTTGGTTCCTCTTCTCTGTGATTCCATTTAAGTTTTAAGTACAAGTCAGATTCTGCTACCCATAAGCCAAAACCAAAACCAAATCCACTGCCATCAGTCTCTTCTTTATAGTGACCCTCATTGGGTTTTGAAGGAGGTAAATCTTTACAGAAGTAGATTACCTCATCTTCCGTGGAGCAGCTGGTAGGTTTGAACTGCCAGTCTTCTGGTTAGCAGTCAAATGCCTTAGGCACTGCCACCAGAGCTCCTTATTACCCCATCCTCAACTCAACTCATTGCCGTCAAGTCGGATCTGACTCATAGCAACCCCTCCTTGGGTTTCTAAGATGGTATCACTACCGAAGTAGATTGCCCAGTCTTCCTTCCAAGGAGTGGCTGGTGCGTGTGAACTGCCATCTTTCTGATTAGCAGTTAAATGTGTTAGGCACTATGCCACCAGAGCTCCCTATTACCCCATAGTCACCATTAATATTAATAGTGCTGTAGTTACACTTTCTTAACCAAGGATAACAGAAACTCAGATGAAGGAGAGATAAGGTGGGTTTGAATTTTCTGAGGGAACATATCTATGGAGGACATGTGAATTGCGTTTGGAACTGAGTCTAGAGAGATGATTTGCATTTGGGCAGTGGGAGCAGTGCAGAGAAGGTGTGGAGATCAAGGTGAGCAGAAGCTCTGAGGCTGGTGCATTGTACACTTGCTTGTGGGTGTGGGTGTGTGCTGGAGTGGGTAGGATTGGAGTGAGAAAAATATTAGTTTAGCTGAAAAGTGCCTAGGAAACGAGGTTGCAAAGATAGGATAATTTTATGTTATTGAAATTCTTAAATGTGATACAGAAGTGTTTAGAGTTACTATAATTGTGAAGTGTTATGGTTCGAGAGCAGTTAGGACACAAGGTTTCCCAGACATCAGCTTTTCCCTTTCTTCATCTCCATAAATACCCAGATACTGAGGCCAAAGATGAAAACTCATCCTTGGTTGATTTATTTATTCATTATTTTTGTATTTTTCACTCATATTCAGTCTAATAGTAATGCCTGTCAATTTTTTTCCAAAATATATTCCAAATGTGACTACTGTTAATTGTTAGTTCACCTGCTTCCACTCTTGCCCTCTATCTAATCTAGACTCCTCAGAGTAGCCAAATGACCTTTTAAAAACAAAAATCAGATAATGTCCCTTTCTGTTTAAAACCTTCCACTGGCCAACCAAAGCTTAACATCCAAATGTGGTGCCCTGTCTTCCAAAGCCCTTCAGAAGTTTCTCTGACTTCCTTCCCCACCCTCTACTCCTGGCCCACCACAGGTCAACCACACTTGCTTCCTTGTGGTATTAGAAAGGAACAAGTTATTTTGTGACTTGGGGTCTTTATACTAGTTTTTCCCTCTATATGAAATAATCTGTTTCCTTTTTCCTTGTATAAATGTCTCTTTTTTACCATGCCACACCAAATCAAACATACTGCTGTCAAGTCAGATCCGACTCATAGTGACCCCTCCTTGGGTTTTCGAGGTGGTATCGCTACAGAGGTAGATTGCCTAGTCTTACTTCTAAGGAGTGGCCAATGGGTTTGAACCACCAGCCTCTGGTTAGCAGTCAAATGATCAGTTTAAATAGCACTCTAGAGAAGACTTCATGACTAACCCACCACCCAACCCAAAGAAGTCATCTATATTCTGTCACAATTTTTTTCTCTTCTCTGTGTAGCACTTATTTATTTATCATATTTCTCCTTTTGCTAGAATGTAAGCTCTGTGAAGAGGAGAGAGATTTTGTTACTGATGTATTTGCTGTGTTTAGAACAGCAGTAGATGCTCCATAAAGAGATAGTCCATAATATGTGCTGAAGGGATGGAAATCATGTTGGCAGTGGTAAGTAGGTTATATTAAAGTAGGGACAGATTAGCAGAAAGAACAGCAGGAGGAAGATGTTGAAGGAAGGTATATGAATGGAAAGGAAAGACTTTCAGAAGACTTATGATTACTAATTTTATCATCCATGTATCCAAAGATAATTTAAAGGCTTCTAATGATGGAACCTAGAAAAGCTATGTGGTTGAGAAGTGACTCTGTATTAGGATAGTCTGTATGGGACATCTTGGGTTAATAACAATGATTTTGAAATATGGATTTAGAGTATGATTTAGGGCTACAGATACAGATTTTAGACTCATCTATTTAAAGGCAACACAAAGACAAGGTCTTTAAATATATGCATATACCAGAATTCTTTTTCTACTGGCTATTTATTGAAAACTGTTGGCAGCTTTGGTTCCTGTCCTGTCAGACAGGAGGAGGAAGTCTCTGTGGTATGGGAGCCCTGTTTGCAGTAGACAAATCGGAATAATCATGCTTTTAACATTTTAGATGTTGGTAGGTTTCCATAGTGTGAAAAGACAGAGATGAGACTAGGTGATAGATTGACTTTTAATAGTTATTCTAGGTTTTCATTTCTTCTTCATTTATAAATGTGGTGCTTAAGGCATTTGACTGCTAACCAGAAGGCTGGTGGTTCAAACCCACCAGTCACTCCTTAGAAGGAAGACTGGGCAATCTATTTCCATGAAGATACCACCTCAGAAAACCAAGGAGGGGGCGTTACGAGTAGGGAAGGACAGCAGTGAGGGTTTTTTGGTTTTTTTTAATAGCCAAACAGACTGTTCAGTGAAGAGCATACCAGTCATCTGGATTAATTACACAGAAATCTAAACAGTAACTTATTTTAAGATACAGAGTAGTCTTTATACTTCTGTTTCCATAAAACATTAAAATACATGGAAAGGTAATAAAAGCACAAGCACCCTTTCTTTGTGCTAACTTTTATTCTAAGTTGACCAATTAGTGAACTTTTCCAAAGATAGTCTTTATTCTTTCTTTTTTCTTTTTGCCTCTTATCCAGGTTTCTGGTTAATTACCCTTTGTCCTTTTGTTAGACCATTTGCATCTGTTTGCCAGGACTGCTCTCCAAATTGGAAGCTAGGATGTCTGTTGCCCATGCTGTTTCCTGTGGTCAGGTGCATCCCCAGGCCCTCGCAGTTGTTGTATAGACTTGAGTCCTGCTTTAGGTGCCTAACCAATGTCTCTTAACTCAGTTTCTAAAAATTCTCTGTAATTTATAGAATTTTAAATTTTATCATTTAAAATTCTTTTGATAAGACAGTTGGGAGATGACAGAAAGTTGGTATTAAATTTTCGTCATTTACTATGACTTGATCTGATATGATTATAGGTCTAGTCTGTCACTTACTGTTTTGTATCTTTAGTTAAAAAAAAAGTTCATAAGAGTGCAAAATTTTAAAATGCCATGAATAAATGAAAATGAAAAACAGAATTTTTGTATCTAGCCTACGTCATGGTAACTGCTGTCACTGATATTTGGTAAGAGAGCAGGGGACCCTTGGCCTTTCAGAACCTAAAATGGTAGGTAGAGTGATCCACAGTTTGGGAAGTCCTGGATAAATGTGAATTTCCTTCTTTAGAAAATACATAGTCTTAAGATGGAAGGCTTTAGTTTAGAAAAGGAAAAAACAAATTTTCTTATTTAACCATTTTAGTTTACCAAAATATGAACTACATTGTTTTTAATTATACGTTTATATTTGTTGAATGAATGAATTCAGAATTAGGAAGTGGGAATGCTATTCAACATTCTTTATTGCAACTATGATGGTTCTTTTCTCACATATTTTAACATTTTTATGTTCTAAGAAGATTTGTTGTTGTTGTTATTGTTATGTGCTGTCAAGTCAGACCCGATTCATAGCGACCCCTCCTTGGGTTTCCAAGGCAGTATCACTACGAAGTAGATTGCCCCATCTTCCTTCTGAGGAGTGGCTGGTGGGTTTGAACCTCCAGTCTTCTGGTTAGCAGTCCTAGATAAGTACATATGAAACCTTACTTGTATGTTCTTTTGTACTGTTTTCACACATAAACCTCTCCTTGTTTTCACTTCTTACTATCATCCTAGGTGAATGGAGGCATTGAGAACACATTAGAGAAGGAGGTAGTGGAGTATGACTACTACTCTTCTTATTTTGACATATTTGTAAGTATATTCTGTTTTATATTTTCTTTCAGATTTGATGAAAACAAAAAGCAAATTTCCTTTATGTAGGCCTCATATTCTATGCCATTCTTTCTCTCTCCCTTGAACACTGACAGTGTTTCCTTCTCCCTTAATAATTGGCCCATTTAGTGCTCCTTCTCTCTTACTAAAATATTGTCAGGTTATCTCAGTGAAGAAGGATTAATAGGAGATGATAGAGGGCAGCGGGAGAAGCCACTCCTATTTTTTTATTCTTTCAAATGGTTGAAATAATAGATCCATGGACATACCCTAGTAACTCAAAGGAAAAGTCACCTATTGGTATAATTGCACAAAGAAAATGATGTTTCTTTTCTGCTTTAAGTTAGCTTTCTATCGGTTGTTGTTAGGTGCAGTCGAGTCGGTTCCAACTCATCATGACCCTATGCACAACAGAACAAAACACTGCCTGGTCATGTGCCATCCTCACAATCCTGCTATACTTGAGCCCATCAGTGCAGCCACTGTGTCAGTCCATCTCGTTGAGGTCTTCCCCTTTTTCGCTGACCCTCCACTTTACCAAGCATGGTATCTTTCTCCAGAGAATGATCCCTTGTGACAGCATGCCCAAAGTAGGTGAGACAAAGTCTGGCCATTCCCACTTCCAAGGAGCATTCCAGCTATACTTCTTCCAGGGCAAATTTGTTCGTTCTTTTGGCAGTGCATGGTAATTTCAGTATTCTTCACCAGCATCCCAACTCAAAAGCATCAACTCTTCCTCGGTCTTCCTTATTCGTTGCCGAGTTTTCAGGGTGTACTTTTAATAATAACTCTTTATGTTATTCTACAGTAATAAGGATTTTTGAGTACAGTATGTATTGGTAAATGTTGGACAATATTAGTCAGTTACAGAATTAAATCGATGCAGTTTGTCTGTAGATGAGACATTCATTTTATTTAATAGTGTTTGAATTATATTTCTAGGACACACTATGGCTTTGATTGGGTTTGATATAGCTCAATAGTATCTCTTTATAGTGTAAAGTAAGTCAGATTCTAACATTGTGTTTTGCATAGCATGTTGTTGTTGTTGTTATTTGCCATCGAGTCGGCCCCGACTCATAGCGACCCCTCCTTGGGTTTCCGAGGCAGTATCACCATGGAAGTAGGAATGCCCAACCTTCCTTCCGAGGAGTGGCTGGTGGGTTTGAACCGCCAGCCTTCTGGTTAGCAGTCCAGTGCCTTAGGCACTATGCATAGGCAATTAAAATTGACTGTGACTTCCCCAATTCGTTTTATTTTATTTGCTGTCTCTATATGCATGGAGGCAAAACGCACATGGTTAAGGGTAGGACAGCATGCAACCTGAGTAATTGCATTCTCATTTTGCAGTATATTAGGCTACCAAATAGGATTTTGTTGAAAACGTGTTTGCTACAGAATATTTAGAAATCTGCTGATGTGGTTTAATACCCTCATTTTTCCAGAGTGAAGAAATAATTCCATGGTTCAGTTTCTTGACCTACTTCAGGTCACATAAGTTGATAGCAAAGCAAGTTGAAGTCCCAAATTTCTGGATGTTTATTTCCTCTAGAATTATTAGCATATGATAACAAAATTTGCTTCTCTCCCTCAATTTCATTGTGAAATGTCCTGAGTCAGGAAATGTCAAGAAGCTAGACTAATCTACTAGTCAAATCTCCAAGTGTTGGCTGGCCTCTATGCTTAGGACCATAGTGATACTAGACAAATAGATAGGACCCATTAGCTCACATTGGAAGACTGTCATATCAGACCTAGGAAATGAACATAGCCTCTGGAAAATTTTAGGATCTGGGAGATATAGAGATAAAGGGTAAAGACTTGGCCTGCCATATCCAGAGGTAGAGATAAAGTTGTAATGACTGAAGAAGCAAAACCATGGGCAGATTGTTCGGAAACACATTTTTAATGAAAGTGGCAAGTTAAAAATAACTTTAACCTGCAAACTTCACTTACATAAAAAGATCTTAAGTGAGGTCTTCTGGTGCATGTCAGTGAAGAAGTTGTTAACCTTCAGCCTTTCAGCTGTTTTGATTAGTGAGAAAATTTTGACACAAATCCACCCTGACTCATTGCTCAGGAGTCACCTGACTTCTCCCTGTTGGCATTTTCCAACTAAAATTGGTAATGTTTTTTTCTATGTTTATTCCTTTAGTATGTAAGAGTTACTAAGACAGCTGTGACATAGTATTTTAAGAGCCCTGCTTTTTGGAGTCAAGCTGTCTGGGTTCAAATCCTGGCTTTATCACTAAGGAGCTGTGTGGTTTTGAACAATTTTCCTAACCTTTCTGCCTTAGTTTCCCCATCTGTATAATGAGATTAGTGATAATAGTTGATTCATGGGATTGTTGAGGTCAGGGATTACATAAGATAATAATACATCTAAAAGGCTTTATTGATCCATAGAAAATAATGAAATATTAGCTACTGGGATAGGCAGATATCTCACCAAGGCCCCAATAACCTAGAGTTTTGGTGTGGGCTTTACTGAGAACCTGGTAGCTTCTAAAAGTGAATGTTTGGGCTCAAATAGAAAGGAAAAACAAACTTTTAATAACACGTTCTTTTTTGATAATGGAAAATGATTTTGAAAGCCTCATTCGGGTAGTATTGCAATTAAACTTAACAACACCCTAAAAAACCCACTGCTGTCGAGTCAGATCCGAGTGATAGCGACACTTCCTTGAGTTTCTGAGGCAGTATCACTGTGGAAGTAAATTGCCCAACCTTCCTTGCAAGGAGTGGCTGATAGGTTTGAACCACCAGCCTTCTGGTTAGCATTCAGATGCCTTAGGCACTACACCACCAGAGCTCCAAGCAAGGGTTCCTAAATGCTGATCTGTAGTCTAATGCCAGTCTGTGGTAGTTCTCAGTTAAATCTGAACAATGAAGACGATATGGTCAGTTTCTCTTTTTTTTTTTTAGTTGTGATTTGGGTGAAAGTTTACACAGCAAATTCACTTTCCATACAGCAGTTCACATACACTTTCTCTCATGACACTGACTACAATTTACCCCAATGCAACAGCTTCCCTCCTACTTCTTCCTGATAGTTACCTATTCCCTGTGTCGAACCCTCCATGCACTCCTGCCCCCTGACTGTCTCCCTGTGCATAAGCAGCCCTTCTTTCTCCCATGATTATTCTCTCCAAGGAGCATATCTCCCTCAGGTAAATGTTCAACTCCTGTGCCTGTTTTTGTTTGGCTGGAAGCCACAGGTGTGGGTTCAATTCCAGACCTGAAGAGCAGCTATGGGCCATAGTCTCAGTGGTTCCACCAGGCTCTACCAGACCAGCAAACGTGCCTCCCCCTTCTTTTTTGTTCCCAAATGATTTGGAGTTTTGTTCCACATTGTTCTCTCTCTATATCCAGGATATCCTACATAAATCCCCCTCCGAGTGGTTGACAGTGGTAGCTGGGCACCATCTAGTTCTTCTGGTCTCTTAGTCGTATAGGCTGTGGATCGCATGCTGTACCACTCACTAGAACTAAGATTCCATGAATCTTTGGTTTTCTTCATTCTACTTTGCTCTGGACTAGGAGAGACCCATCGTTGCATCTACATGGCTGCTCGCAAGCTTTTAAGATCCCAGTTCCTACTTGCCAGAGTTGGAGGTGGAATATTTTGTGTAGTATGTTATGCCAAATGAGTTTCATGTCCCCTGTGACTATGGTCCTGCCCATAGGTTCAACTACTTGGTCCCTCTGGGTAGCTTGCTGTGACCAAGAAGTGACTACTACCTTGTCCCTTGTCAGCTCTACAATACACCTGGGAATTCTGATAGAACATACAAATACACTTGTAGGACCATTGTCTCCCAACCTATATATGGTCTTGGGTACATTCCCCACTGCATAGACATACCTAGTAGTTCAGCTTGTCCACCCATCTATCCACCCATATACCCATGTCTGCCTTCACTGACACTGCAGTAATGTATGTGCAAAAAGGTTCATGTTTGTTGTCTGTACCTCCAATTTACCTCTGTATGTCTTCCTCTTCCTTAACGCCACCATGTTCACTACTCACATTTGGTACGTTGCCCTGCTCTTCACCCAAATCAATACTTATCTCTACCTATCTAACAGGGTTCTCTCCACTCCACTCCTACCCCTGGTAACCAACAAAGAAAATTTCCTTCCAGATCTAAACCTTTCCTTGACTTTTACAATAACAGATTAATACAGTATTTGTTCTTCTGTGATTGACTTATTTCACTAAGCATAATGTCCTCCAAGTTCATCCACGTTATGCGGTGTTTTGCAGATTCTACATTATTCTTTAGGGTTACACAGTATTCCATTGTGTGTATGTACCATAGCTTTGTTATCCATTCTTCAGTGTTGATGGACACCTAGGTTGTTTCCATCTTTTTGCTATTGTAAATAGTGCTACGATGAACATAGCTGTGCATGTATCTATTCTTGTCATGGCTGTCACTTTAGGATATATACCCAGTAATGGAATGGCTGAGTCATGGTATTTATAACTCCAACTTTTTAAGGAATTGCCATACTGCTTTCCACAGTGGTTGTACCATTTGACAGTCCCACCAGAAGTGTATGAGAGTCTCAGTCTCTCCACATCCTTGCCAGCATTTGTTATTTTCTGTCTTATTGAACTTTGCTACTAGTGCTGGAGCCAAGGTGTTATCTCGTTGTTGTTTTCATTTGCATCTCTCTAATAACTAATGATCGTGAGCATTTCTTCATTTGTTTGTTGGCTGCCTGAATATGCTCCTCAGTGAAGTGTCTATTCATGTCTTCTGCCCATTTTTTAATTGGATTGTTTGTCTTTTTGTTATTGAGGTGCTGTAGTTTTCTATAAATTCTAGAGATATGTCCCTTGTCAGATATGTCATTGCCAAATATTTTTTCCCAATCTGTAGGTTCTCTTTTGACTCTTTTGGAGAAGTCTTTGGAAGCACATAAAAATTTAATTTTTAGAAGGTCCCA